CGGGTACTTTCTGTTTGTTACTTACTGGCTTGTTCTGTGTATTTTTCTTAGGATTAACAGGAGATTTTTCAGTGTCTGTATCTGAAGTATCTAAATCTGACTCTGTCATTGCTAGCATAACAAGCCTAGTCTGGAATTCCTCTTCAGCTGCTTTGTCATCATCGTCAAATTTGCGAGGTGGAACTGAATCTGCTTCTACTGGTGCTTCGCACTCTGAACTGTCTGACCCTGAATCACTGTTCTTGTTGCTTTTGTCCTTCACTGTCTTGTCCAAGGAGGTTCTATGCTTTCGGCTTTTGTATTTACTCAAGTCTTCGCTGGAGTCAGACTGGTAATTAGCTGACTGGCTAGGGTGGTCAGTAGCCACATGTTTTGCCAACAAATTTCTTGACACAAATGCCTGTGTACAATGTTGGCATTTATGTGGTCTTTCCCCTGTGTGAATACGTATGTGGACTCTTAACCTCGAGCGAGTGCCAAAACGATCACCACAATGTTCACATTTGTGAATTAACTGCTTTTTGTGAATATGAAGAACATGTTGAGTTAAGGAGACCTCAGAAGTAAAACACTTTCCACAGTGAGGGCAAGTCTGGGGATTGTGTTTCCATTCTTTGTGTTTGACCAGGTGATGATCACGCACAAACTTTTCTCCACAGACTTCACACTCAAACTTTTTTTCAAGTTTACACAAATTGTAATGAAGTTGTCTGGACTTTTCCTGTTTAAAGCGTTTGCCACATTTAAAGCATGGAAAAGTGTAACTAATGGAAGGAGAGGCTCTAGCTTCCAGTACTACCATGGTCCTTTGGGTTCCATCTTGCTCAGTTAATACAAAGGGACGTGCCTCACTTGGCAAGTGGGATAAATGGAAAGAGTGAACCAAAAAAGCATAGAGACTTCCTTGAAAAGCTCCACAAGTACAGGTAACAAGTGAACGAGGGTGAGCTTCATTCACATGTAGTAAAAGGCGAGGTAAAAGAACACTCACACCACATTCTACACACTGACCAGTAAATTTATCACTAAGATCACGCAAAATGTTCTCCCCCATAGAAGTCTCATCAATATCGGCATTTTCCCCAAGGCCCTTTGGTACAGCCTTTGGCTCTCCTCTCCTACTTTGTTTCTCCCTTGGAATCTTCTTTTTAACAGCGTATTCTACCTCCTGAACAGATTTATGTGGCACCATCTCTGATACAGATTGAGACTTGGTTTGTTCTGATGGAACATCTTTATCTTTCTCTTCACCATTTTTTTGTAATTCTGTTAAGGCCTCAGTCATAGTCCGAATAGTTTGTGCCACAACATTGTTAAGAGTATCAACTAATCCAAAAGTTGGTGTTCCTCCTTCTGACTGTGAGGGGTCTGAATTTTCTTGTCTGTCAGACTTACTAAATTCCTTAGATGGTGAAGCTTTAGAACACGAAATAGATGGAGAAGCTTTTGTGCTCTCCAAGTCTTTCATTTCTGAAGATGGATTTCCTTCCATGCTAGTGGGTATAGCAGATGAAACAGTGTCTGCCTGACTACCATTCGAGTTAGGTAAATTAGACCCAGGACTGGGTGGACAAGAGCCACGTGGCGAGTTAGGTGATGCAGCAGCTGTATCAATCTGTAAAGGTGGCTCACTCCCACTGTCATCATCATCATCTGCATCTTTCTGTTCTACTTCATTGTCCTCCTCCACTTTTTTTATTTCATAGTCTTTGACTCCAGAAGACAGCACACTGCTTTCATCCGTCTTCACAATTTCTGATATTCCAGAATCAGGAACATGTGGTGTATCTGCAATCTGCTGTCCTGCCTCTACTGTCTCTTTCTTAAAGGTGATATTTTTGTCAGGTGAAACTGTAAGGTCACTGGTGGGTGGAGTAAATTTGTGGGGAGACATAGATACTGTACACAATGACCCGCACCAGCCAGGAACTGCATCATCCTCACTCTCTACAGTCTCCTCCCTAACCTCATGGTTACTTCCCATCTCCTCCACTGAATTCTCTTGAATGTTTCCTTGAGGGGTGTCCATTAACAAAGGAACATAAATTAAAGGGTCACATTGTGCTACAACACCACCACTTGCATTAATACCTACAAGAATCACACATCCATCATCCTTATCTACTACCTTCGGATGTTGCATTTTGTACTTTTCTTTTACCTGTTGCTTATGGTTAAGGCGTACCCAAACAGCATCCAAAGACCTCAGATCATGACAAGTAGTCCGATGGTGTTGCAGAGATGTAATTGTTACAGCATGAAAAGGACAAATTAAGCAAGCAAGAGTGTGTGACAACAACTGGTGACAAAATAATGTCAGACGATCCTTAAACATCCTGGACATATTACACTTTGAACAACAACTTGGTAGTTTAACATACTTTAAGGGTGGTTTTATTGTTTGCCGATGTTTAGGGGATTCCATAAGATGATCATAAAGACCAGATGCTTGTGGACTATAAAAGCTACAAGATTGAGCAGGGCAATGCCAAGGTGGACCAGCCTGGCACCGATGGAGAGCCAGATGGCAATGTGGACATAGGGGTGCTGGGCTCAGGTCTGCATACCTTAGTGTCAGAGTAGTTGAGCATCCACACAGCACACATGATGTCCATACTTTTACAGTAGCAGAAGGAGTTAGGTGGTGACCTACACCAAGTAATGTAAACAAGTCCCCAGTATGACTATGCCAGACTGCATTTAGTGACTGAGCATCCAAGGAAGACAGTAGTCCTCCACGCCCTCCGCGAACCCACTGAAGAATTAAACTTATTTCATCTAAGTTTAATTCTTCCTCACTGGGAAGATGACATGCATTAATATGGGAAGCTAGATGTATAGATGAATGAGCCACTGTTTGCCCAAGCATAGGCTGCTCACCTGGCTCAAAATCAAGTGGCGAGTCTTGCATGTAGGAAATGGGCAAGGAAAAACATGACATCCCCAAGAGTGCACCACCCAAGACAAGACATCCTGTTCAATTAAGATAGCAGGGCAAAAACTACATGTAAAACGTGGAGCACATTTTTTAACAAATGTATGCCTAAATACATGAGGAAGTAGGGAGTTTGCCCACAGTCCACAAAATACACACCAGCCTCCTGCTATCTGATTCTTGTGATTTGCAATTAGGTGGGAAGTTAACTGAAATTGATTACCTGGACATGAGTATCCACAAAGATACCAGCATGAAAGGCTGTCTTTCACTATACCCCAACACCCCCCACACAAGCCACGTGATTCATCCAACTGTGGACTCACAATAAATGCTAAAGACCGTTTACATATTAGACAACGTGCAAAAGATATATTGCTGTGTAATCCAAGAGCTAACATTGAGGACAATGATGATCGGCAAAGTGGAGGCAAAACATGAAGAAGACGTAATAGCAACCACCAACCATGCAATAAAGTATCGCTCAATAGATGAACATTTACCAGGTGGTTTGCTAATATCTTTGGGAAGGCATGTGGAGCACATACCATCAAGAAGTGCTGAGGATTTTGAACCAAAGAGGTAGAGCAGCACTGGTGACATGTCCATGACAAACCCTTACCTGTCCACCACACACTTGCCTGTGGAGATGGAGAGCCCAAAGTCAGCATACTTGACACTTGTCCATGTACCAAAAGCTCATGTAACTGTCGAGTGGGCTGTGCTAACAAGCACAAGCATACTCGACATGGGCGAGTAAGGTTAGAGGTCGACCCAGCCAGAGTACACGATGTAACATCAGCAGCGAGATCTTCCAGCATTCGTGCAATTAAAGGCTCATGGTGTTCCCATAAATGTGCATGATACTGCACAGCTCCAATAATCTTTCTACAATGGCCTTCATCCAGCACACACTCATAAACACGCCTATGACCAATTCGCTGATGCTGATATTTTTCCTCATTAGTTTCAAATAATAGCTGACATTCATGACAGGCTCTTCCATCATCTAAATTAAATGGTCTTAATGACTTTTCTCTTTCATACACTTGAATAGTGCTAGAGCTAATATTAGCTTGAGCCTGATTATTACAATCTACAAGTCTTTCAGAATGATCAGTACTGGTGTGTGTACTAACTGAAACAAAACCTTCAAATGCTTCTTCAGCCAAAACATCCTCCCCAAAGTACTCATCCTCCCACCTTCTTTCTGGTAAAGAACTATGAAAACCCTCAAAGTTATATACCTTAGTCTTATCCTCTTCTAATGATCCAAACAGCTGCTCATATTCCCTCTGAGAGATAACTGTTTTTTTTAATGACTGTTTATCACTGAATTCTTTCTCTGTGCATTCCCCATTAAATCCCCCTTTTTCTGCACCTACCTTATTATTCTGAATGAAGGATGGTTCTCCTTTTGGTGCTATTCTTATTACACTAATATTATATCCAGTATCACTAATATTTTGAGAATTTTCATATCTTTCAGGTTTTCCTGCAACTGAAATCCTTGAGTCAAATTTCTTCAGGTCTGTCTCACTAGAACTCTTTTCGTTAAATTCTACATGTTCTACGTTTGTAATGTTTTGCATCCCAGGCTTCTCTGCAGGTCCCTGACTTGCACTAATTTTATGGAAATCATCTCTACCCACTTTTTCATACCTACCTTTTTCCTTATACACACACCCTACTGCTGGCAAAATCTGCACTTCACTTTTAACTTTCTGGTCTTTCTGAATCTCCTTATCATTGCATTCGTTAATACTGGTCTGTGAAATATGAGGATGAGAAATAATATTGATTTCTTTGTTATTATATACAGATTTTCCTTCCCTTATAAAATTTTGGTCAGTTTCTTTGATATTTTTTGAATCACTTATCGGTTTATTCCTATCATTATTTTGTCTCTTAAACTGTGTTTTACATCTGTCTTCATTACTAGCTTCACATTTTGATAAACTATCCTTTTTGAGGAGAGAAATTTTTTGACTGTTTTCTTCAATAGGTTCTAATACAGCTTTATTTTGTACGCACACTTTTGAATCAGTTATTTCAGTTTCAGATTTCTTTGACGTGTTACTTAAATCACTAACATTATCCTCTGAAGACTGTTCCAAAGATGGATCCCTTTGGATTAGGTCTTGTAGTATTTCACTGGAGGGGTATTCCATTCCCCTCCCTCTCCTAGCTCTACTGTATGATGCACTATCTACCACTATATCACTACTACACTTTGCAATGGATGTTGCCATTTCTACCTGATGTGTCTGTTTTTCCTTTTCACTATGTATTTCTAAATCTTTAGATGTTCTAATACTACCACTGGTTTTAGAGGAAGAGTACAACAATCGCTCATCTTTTTTCTGTTCTACAGAAAAATTTATATGTCTACTAATTTCCTTCTTATTTTCAGAGCTTTCAAATAAAGGGTCCTCCACAGTCACTTTTTGAACCTTGGTAGATGCACTGACAACATTAAGATCATCAACTGGATTAGATGATACACCAATTTCCTCTTTAGATTTACTTTCATCAATTACCTTTTTCACTAATAACACAGGTGAGGCACCAATTTTTTCTTTTATATTACTTTCTTCAATTACCTTTTTCACTGGCAATATAGAAGAAACACCAATTTTCTCCTTAAATTTACTTACTTCAATTACCTTTTTCACTGGTGAAACACCAACTTTCTCCTTAAACTTACTTTCTTCAATTACTTTTTTCACTGGTGATACAGGTGAGACATCAGTTTTCTCTTTAACTTTATTTTCTTCATTTACCTTTTTCACTTGTGATCTATCAGCGTCACAGCTATTATTTTCAAGTTTATCATCACTATCCTCACCAATTTTATTGGAATCGGTAGCAGAATGTGATCCAGGTAGGGTTGTACTTACTAAGATTTGTACTTCACATTTATTTCCAGAAGGGCCGAGCTTGTTAGCAGATTTAGTTTCTCCTAAACTAGTTATATTTTTTGAATTATCTGAACTGTGTTGACCATTCTCAAGAGCATCCGTAGTGCCAGTGGCAGGACTTTGAGCATCATTATTCTCAACATCGTCTAACTGCTCTCTTACATCTATCTGTTCTTTAATTACTGACTCATTTAGCCTTGTATTCTCTTTATCACTATCAGCCTCTGCAATACTTTTGGAAGGTTCTGGAACAGATTCTTCTGGTATCTTATGCTGACCATCTGAGAAGTCCAATCTACCATTAGTATTAATAGTTTCATCTGTGGGTCTTCGTTCTACATGCTTGTGCTCCACTCCTTGGTTACTCTTATCACCAGTTGAACTAGATGCCTTGGTAACTTCTTGTTTCTCACGACGTTCATTAGCTTTTAGGGATTTCACGATGATTTCCCAATCATGCATGATATCTGGCAAAGGTGTTGCTCGAGATCTTTTAGCTTCAGATGAGCTCTCATCTTCCTCCCGTGACCCTCCAGAAATTGGTGGATATAACAACTTTCTGGCTTGGCTGCCTTCCTGATTAGGTGACTTTCCATCCCGTGCACTGCGGCCACTATGATGCACTTTTCCACTTGCATGTCTAGACTTTCTTGGTCGCTCAGATTTTGTTAGTGTGTCATGCAAGGTATTGCTAGATATGCGTCCTGGTGTTGCTAAGGTAGATAGCCTATGAGTAGCATCTGAAGCAGAAATCTGGCATTGGCCAGATTCAGAAACACTACGGGTCCGTCCAGTACGTCTTCCAGCAGGGGACCTGATGAAATACATGAATATACTTTAACAAAATCCAGAGCAATATGTTAAATCACAGTTTTTACTGTAAATGTTAAGTAGAAACCCTGTTCTGAAGACAAAATATAGTATGGTTGAAAGGCAAATAAAAATCAAATCAAAAGAACAGTGAGGGTTAAGGAGTAGTATGTCCAGAAACATTCAAGCCAAAACATACAAATCAGTTGTTAAAATTTTTGCACTGTATAGTGCTATTGGATGACATTGCATACACAATTTTTTTCAAACTGGAGTGCCAGTTCTATTGAAAGGTTTTTAAATACCACTATATTTTTTTTTTAATGAACCAGCCGTATCCCACCAAAGCCGGGTGACATAAAAAGAAAAACGAAAGTTTCTCTTTTTAAATTTAGTAACGTATACAGGAAAAAGGTGTTACTAGGCCCTTGCTCCCGGCATTTTAGTCATCTCTTATGACACAGATGACTTATGGAGGAAGAATTGTCTCACTTTCCCATGTATTAAAAAAATACTATATGGCTATGAAACAATTATTTCTATAGTACAACCTTTAAGGTGAGGCCCCATGATCTTGGTACAGTGGACCCCCGGATATCATAGTCATCGGATTTCATAATATTCGAAAATCATAACACTTTTTTTGTTGAAATATTGGCTCAGTGATTGTCATTGAGCTCAGTAATAGTAATTCATCCCGAACACGTCTGCACGGCAACAGCAGCCCGACACTCAGTGTGCCATTGTTTATCAGCCAGTGAGCACGATCCCACGCGTTCATACGATGCATTTCGTATTATTCCATTCTTTTTAGTGCTTGCAACTGCTAAATAA